TTATCGCAGGAGACGGCGACTACACTTGCGAGGGACCCCCGTAGGGGAGAGGTGGCCGCGGCGGCAGCCAGCACGCTGACTGGCGCGACCGAGGACCATGAAACAATGACGAAACCAGCCGCTGACAGCCGCTGGAAGCAGCCGAGCCGCGGGCGTCAGCGGCAAAGCAGCCAGAACCGTCACAGCAGGTAAGGTTATGTGGTCTGACCAGGGCGTCTTGCAGGAAGCACCGATGGGTGTACAAGCGTGCGGGCACACACACACACACACACACACACCAGGCGGGGAGGCTTGCAAGGTATGCGGCTACACCTGGCCCGCGGGCGAGAAATCCAGCAGCCATGCCGAGCGGAAGGCGCTGCAGAGTCTTGGGCTCACCACTGACAGTTTGCTGGCGCCCGAGGCAGTGGTCACGGTGGCCAATGGCTCGGCGGACAACGGTGGAGTGCTTGGCCAAGTTTCCGGCCTTGGCACCTGCTCAACCCACGCCGCCACTCACGGAACCCAGGCTGGGGGTCAGGCTCGAGCAGCCCTTCGGTACCGGGCACAGGCCACAAGGGCTACGACTTTGCCAACCCAGACGAGCTGGCCCAGTACATCGACAGGAAAGCAGTTATCAAGGCCCGCTAGAAAGCAGCCAGTGCTCAACGCGCTGCTGCGCCGGGGGCAGCGCTTGCACCGGGAAGCGGGGCAGCGGCGGGAGGGGGAGGGCAGCCTTCGCCTTCTTGACATCATCAGACAGGGTAGAGCAAACAGACGAGGTACGGAAGGAGACGAGACGCAGCAGCCCGACAACAAAAACAACATACAACACCAACCAGCAGGAACCATAAATAATTGAGGATTGGCCGCGTCTCCATGCACGCCGGTCGCACCCCGAACGAGGACAACCGCCAGCGCGATGGAGTAAGGGTACATGCAGATGACCCAGTGTTGGCAGCGGCCAGGAGAGAGCTGGAGTAAATCCAGAGAATCACTACAGGATGGGCCCAGAGCTGGACGTGGCGCACACGCGATGAGGACAGCGACGACGACGACGATTGGAACGACTGGTGCATCTCATATGCGCAAGCCAGACTTGCACGCGTAAGAATGGCGGCGCTGCAGAACGGCGAAACCCATCGACAGGCGCGCGCCGAAGACTACGCGGGCCCCGGGCATATCGCGGACCCGAACGCGGCGCGCAGGCGCAACGCGGAGAACGCGCAGCTACGCAGGTACATCAATGCGGGTGAGGTTCGGCCGTGGGGCACGCCAACGCAAGCCGGAAAATTTGGAAGACCCGCGCAACATGCCGCACCTGCCAGAGCGCTTCCCTCGGACGGCGAGCGCCGCGGCAAGCCAGGCGGGGCTCGGCGCGGAGGCACATCCGCGCGCTAGCTCTGGCGCGAGCGAGGCCCAACCAGCAACTTGCAATCCGAACCTCGATGCGGGCGCCGATACGACAGGCGCTAAGGGGGGGGGGAGCGAGAAGCCGAGGCGGCGGCGGCAGGCCCCAACAACGGCGACACCGCCCACGAGCAACCAAGCAACGACGTGGAAGCGCATGTTGTAAAATTGAACCTCGCGCGGAGGCGGAGACCACGGGCGCGGGGGCTGCCGGCGCTGAATGTCGGGGGGCGCCCGGGGGACTTACGCGAGGGCCCCATGCGGCAGCAAGCCGCGCCGACGAAATGCGCGCTCAGGGGCAGGCGCAGGGGGCGCGCCAGCAACTGAATGGAGGGCCCCCGCGCGCCGCAAGAGGACTCGGACGCGGCCGGCCGGCCACGGGCGCGCGCGCCGTTCGTCGTTCATTTCCTGGCCCATCCCATCGCCAGGTCGCTCGTCGCGCAGGCGGCCGAGAGGGCGGGCAACGCGGAGGCGCCGCGCGCGGCTGCAGCAGCTCCCGGCCCCCTCGAGCAGTTGGCCCAGCGCGGCGAGCAGCGCGCCCAGGCCATGGCCCGAGACGCACAAAAAGGACGGGGGCGCGGGCAAGCAAGACGGCCTGAGAACGCAAAGACCTGAGGGCCCCCCGCGGACAGTGCCACCTCATATTTAGCGTCGCCACGCGGAGCTGGACCAGGTCCTGGGGCAGCCCGTCTGCGGAACGCCCCAGGCCCGCAGTCGCCGCGCTTGGTATGTATATATATATATACATATATATATATACATATATATATATATATGTTGGCAGAGTGATGGCGCCAGAGAGCCCCGCTGGGCATTGCCGCGGATCAGCGGAGGATTGGCAGGTTGCCAGTCCAGCCACGCACCCGCGCGCAATCGCAGGATCGTCGTTCAAGCTGACCAGGCTGCGGGCACTGCCCTCGGCCCCCCATCGGGCGCGACCGAGGGGCCCCGTTCTCTAGCTCAGCGCGGAGAGCCAAACAGAATGAGCACAGCTGCAGGCAAGTCGTGATGGCCCAGAACAGCGCCAGGAACTTCGAAAACCCACGGGGAATGCCTGGCAGAGGTGCGCCGAGGAGCTGGGGGGCGCCATGCGTTCCACGCGTCCCCCACGCTCTGCAGGCGCAGGGAGACGGCACTCTCGCGGAAGATCTGCCGCGGGAGGAGCGGATCAGCAGGCGGCGCGCAATGGCGGAGGAGATGCGCCGACGCGCATGGCTAAGCAGCGCGCGGAGTCGCAGGGCCGCCAGAATCCAGGCCATGCCGGGCAGCGCCGCTGACGGCAACAGCAGTGCTGTGGAAGTGCGCCAGCTCGCGGCAAGTGTGGCGGGCCGCAGCAGCAGGGCGTTGCGGCGCAAGCGCGGCGCGACGGAGAGGCCGCGACCGCGGCAACCCAGCCCCAAAGGGATGCAGTTCCAGGAGAGCTGCCCAACCCGATGGAACACAAAAGTGGCGGCAAGGAAAATGCCGCAGCCAGCGCGGCTGTTTCCCTGGCGACAGCGGCGGCAGCAGTGAGCGCGGCTTCTGGGGCGCCAGGAGACGACCGACAAGATGTAGTACCCGCCGATGATGTTCGCGCGAGGGCCCGTGGCCGCTGGCGAAAAGCAGCTGGAGACCCGGGCGAAGACCGCGGCGCGGAGGCCCATCGCTAGGCGGCCTGACGCGCAGGGCAGAGCTCGGACGACGCCGCTGCCACCAGCCAAGCTGCAGCGCGCACAGGCCGAGGGCATGCCGGGCAGGCAGCGGGGCCCACTGCTCGCAAGCAAGGAGCTGATATCTCCAGGACCTGCATGAATTCATGCCGTGATGAACCACCTGCAAGCATGAGCAGCTGGCAGAGGAGATCTGGCAGGCCTGGAGGATGATATTTGCAGGAGGTATGGACGAGATCGCTGGGACAGCTTTAGGCTTGGTGGACAATGCCCAGCTGTGACGAGTTGATGGAAGTACTTGCTCGTGCTGGGGGCGAGGGAGGATTGGCAACACATCGCGCCATCTGGACCGAATTGACGGACCTCCGACAACTATGGCGCCGTCTTCCTCGAAACGACATTGATCGCCCCGCTCGTCTGCAGTCGGCCTGGCCAGGCGATGACCGACCCAGAGCTGTTCCAAGATTATTCCAAGCGGATTGCTAAGTGACGTAGGACGTAGTTTTTTCTCTGTAGTTTCGTCCCCTGGAAATGTGGTAAATTCGGCTGTTTTTTTTTTTTTTTTTTTTTATATAAAAAAAAAAAAAAAAAAAAAAAAAAAAATCTGATTTTTAATCTAAAGAAGAGCGGCTAATTCCCCGCAGCGCCGCGCTGTCCAAGACAGTGCTATGGTGGCCACGCAGGCCAGTAATGTTCGCAGATGGTTTCGCAGGGCGTTCATGATGATTCGTTTTTGGGGCACGGTCCCCCCGGCCTGGAAATTAAATTATCTTTCTCGCCACCCCGATTACTTCTAGGCTCCGTCGCCTTCCTCACTTTCTTCCGTCCTCTCTCGGGTTCCTGTAAGGCGGTCTTGGGGGTCCCTTGGACATTGTTGGCTGTTTTCGGTGCCTCCTGGGCCGTGTTGATGTTCTCTCGGGCCATTTTGGGTTGTCCTGAGGCACTTTTGAAGGATGATTGGGCGATTGGGGAAATCTCTTTGGCCGTCTGTGGGCTTCATACAGGCTTCTAGGGATAGTTGGAACTGCAAGAAGTCCGAAGAGGTGAAGCCACCCAAATATTTGAGAAACCGTTTGTGGACGATCAAGTGGGTTGCTCTATTCGGGTTTTTTTGTGGGGTAGTCTTGCGGCCCTCTTGAGCTGTCTTGAAGGCTTAGTGGCACGTTTGGAGGCCGATTTGGACCGCCGTGGGGCCGTTCGGGAGGCATGTTGGGCCATATTGGCGGTTTTGTTCGCTTGTCCCGGCCGTCTTGAAGCCCGGGAGCGCGGACCGATTTTTGTTCACCCTCGAGAGTGCGGACTCATAGTTTTTCAGAGGGGATCGTGGCCTCGGGAGGAGGAGCACTGCACGCAGAACTCCGCAGCGGGAGGGGGGTCCTCTTAGAAGATGATTCAACCCAGCCAGACAGCGCTTGGCATCATACCATGCCTCATCGTGCAAACCGACATGGTGGCGGAATTCGAAGCAGTCGCACAGGTGGAAGCGAGTACCCTCGCAAACGCATGTTACTTGGGCGCGTCGTGTCGCCCAAATGCCCCATTGCAGAAGCATGGGCGAGCTCTTGTCGCTCCAGTCCTCCCGCGACAACTTCTCATGCCAGGAGTGCGTGCCCGACGCTCCAGCTCCAGCCTATCCAAGGGCAAAGCTTGAGCAGCGCCGGTGGGTTTTAATAATGTCTCACCGTTGCAGCTCTTGAGGCCCCGACCCTGCAGCAGACTCATTGGGCTCAGCATTTCAGTGGCCGCTCGTCGCAGCCGTAGTAGTAGTACGGAATGCCTAGATGATGTCATGGGGAGAGCGTGCGACGGATAGTGTACAGCAGCATCGGTGGTGCGTGTTCGGTTGGGTTTACTCTGTTTGTCTTCCTTCTCGTCATCGTCCTCCTCTTTGTCGCTCTCGTCCGACGAATCTAGAATATCACTTGCCTCCTCAAACTTTCCATTTCCGCTGTGCTGACGCCCAGCCTTTTTGGCTCTCGAGTCCACCCGTCGCGGGCGCGGGCGTAAGGCCTCAGCGGCCGGCGATGGAAGCCATCAGGAATGCCATTCCAGAGACACCTGTGATCGTAGCGGGCGCCGTCGGTGCGGAGGGGTGGGCCCCTCTTTCGACGCTTGGCTCCCCGTCTCTTTTCCCCCCTCCAGGAGTGGGGAAGGGAGATGGGGAGCCCTCCTCCTCCTCCTCCTCCTCCTCCTCCTCCTCCTCCTCTGGTTTATGTTTCTGTTGGCCGTGTAGTTCGCCACAGGGCATGGTGTGCCAGACCCTCTTACAGTGGGGGCGTTCGTTCATGAATTCGCACAGGAGGCTTCAGACCCTTGAGGATATCCTTATCTAGTGAGTACGGCGGTGATATCCATTGCACATCCACGATTGGAGTTCCACTAGCTTCCAGACTTTGGATGATTTATCCCATGGTTCCTTATCGAATGCCCTCACTGTTTTGTTGTCTGTTCCTCCTCATCATCCTTTCGCCTCTTCCGCCACCTACTTCCGCGTCGGGCATTCCTCCTGCTCTCGTCCCACTCGTCATGTCCCTCCCCCAGCATCCTTCTGAAGTCCCATTCCGACTTCCCTGCTCCGATGATTTCCCTCTTTGCATGATGCATCGTATTGTTCCTCCTTCGCTTTCACATCCTCCTGTGATCCCTACTATCCCCTCCGCACGTGATGCATTCATCCTGCTCCTCCTGCTCTTTCACGTCCTGCTGCCTCTTCCTAGTGCTGCTGTTGCGTGTGCCGAAGCTTCAGCTTATGGTGGCAACGCTGCTTCTTATCCGTTTTATGCTCCTCCACAGACCCGCTTCCGTCCAAAACAATCTTATTATTTTTAATGGTCCATCCTCTTATACCCTCCAGCCCCCTTGCAGTTGTCCGATATGAGTATCGCCCCCTTGTCACATGGCAACGTCCTCTCGTGTTCACGTGAGTCCCGCGTAGTGTGTGTTTTTTCTCACAGGATGTTGAATTCTCGCCGTTCGTGTTTATTTCGTTTGCAGATCCGATTGCCTTCAGTGCTTGAAAATGGTGGTGCCGCTGCAGTTTTGGCAGTATGTCTTGATCGGTAGTTTGATGCCGTCCTCCGGGATGGGGCGCCTGCCCTAGCCTGCGCAGCAGTCCTGGATCCGCTCAAGGCCTCGCTCCTTCTTGCCTCCTCTCCGTGCTGCATGTTGCATGCTGCTAGGGGGAATCCGTGCACCCCACGGGCCCAAAGGCCAGCCCTGTCGGTATGCACAACACGCTGGACTGCCCACGGCTCGGGCGCGCAGTCGTCGTGGGATGCTGCGCCGCCAGAGCTGTGGGCCACCGCTGCAGACCCTGCGGCGGCTGTCCTCTGAGAAGCCTCGGCTTGGCCTCCTTTCCCGTGCCTGCGGGGGGGGGCGCAGGGAGCATTCCACTTAAAGGCCTTCGACGACGACGCTCCTCCGCACCTGCTACAATGTTTACAGAAGGCCACACCACGAAAGACATGGAGGTGCGGAAGGTGGGTCGAGCGGAAGGTCTGGGCGTGATTCGGCCTGCACGGTTGGCACAGCCAGGGCTCTTTGGTCCCTTGTGCCTGGTACTTGAAACAGATGTTACACCGCGCCCCTTCTGGAACCTCCTCGAGAACGTGCTGAGCGTGGCCCCGCTTCTGGGGAGCCTGGATCCGTCCTCGTTTCTTGGGGGCAGGGGGCGGCGCGGGGAAAACCTCCCAGAAAAACTCCTGAATAGCGGCAAGGCGGTGCTGGATGAGGCTGAGTTCTCGGTCGCGGCCTCAGCACGGGTCGGGTGACCCACTCGGGCAATTGAGCTCGGGTGGCTGCATCGCTGGCTATCTTATCTGCCAGCTCATGAACTAAAACTGCCCAGGGCTGGATATTATAGTCCCAAAAAATCTGACTCGGACGAGTGGGACTTGGTTTTGTGAAACTCCACGGTCCCGTCGAGCCCCTGATGTGCCTTTCAAAAATCTTGCCATAGATCAGTGTTGGTCCTATGTTTCCGCTGGGCTCCCCTCAGTACTCCTCAATACACGCATGCTGAATTTGTCACAATCAGAATCTCACCACGGAGGTTGCGGAGGGCCTGCACGACCGCGTACAGCGCCCCGCGGTTGACGGTCTGCTTACCTGGCAGGCCTCCTCGAAGGGTTCCTATGGTCTCAAGGTCAGCATCTTTGACTCCTACACCCCATCCGATCCTCCTGAGCCTCGGGTCCAGCGGGAAACGTCCACCTCCAGCGCCGGTCCCCACCAGGAACTTCCCCTTGATCGGGCCTCCTTGGATAATGAAGGACCCCGTGGCTCCAATGGTGGCTCGGGGGGGGTGTTGTTCCAGAGCTTCTATGGTAAAATCAGCTGGCTGCAATCCTCGTCCCCACTTCACTGGATATGACGGGAACTGCTCCACTGCCTTGGCCACCAGGTGCTGAGACTCGCTGATGGCGGGGTCGGGACTCCGACTCAAGACATGGCAGGTCCAGAAGCCCTGCAGGTCGTCCTCCATTGCCGCACCGCATCTGAAGCAACGGGAGGGTTGGCAGGGCTTGCATTGGTGAGCACGGGCGTTCGTCCAGATCGACCCCTTCCCGATGGCGTGCAGCGCTTTTGCCCGCGCGGGCTGGTCGTCCCTCCGAAACTTTTGACAGGTAGGCTGAAATTTCTACGTGTCTATGCCAAACTTAGCCCCCCTTCCTAGGTGGAACATCGAGGCCCTCTCCCAGAGCGTCTGCGAAACGTGGATGCTGAAGGCTTCCAGGAACTCGGCTTGCCCTTTGAGGTCCCCTGGAGGCAACTTGTAACGCTTGTCCCCTGGAAGGATCCAACCCCAGGGCTCCACCATGTGCACGTTGAGGTCATGGAGGGTGGCGATGAGGGCGGAGTAGATGGAGGTGACCTTACTCTAGCGGGTCTTGCCCGCCAGCCGTTCAAATTGTGGGATACCATCTCTTGATTATGGCCTTGTGCAACTCGGGCTGCTAGCTGACAAGCTTAAACCAGGTGGCCACCAACTGCATGGGTAAAACATGCGTAGGGTCTTCCTGCTGCTGGCCTCGGGCGGACAAATCGAAGCCTGCGGTGGTAAATCCATATCTGGGAACATCTCCTTTTCCTCCTCGTCCTCCCCCCTCCAATGTACAAAAGGCCCCCGCGCCGGTGGTACAGCAAGCAATTGGGCAAGTCCTGCGGCTGCAATTTGGGGTTGAGATCTTCTAAGTTTCGCCTGTTGGCGGATTGAATCTGACTCATCGCAATGAAAACAGCCTGTGGGAGTTGCAGTGTGACAGGTGTGGCGTGAGTGCACGTAACTTGCCTGTGCCCCTTCAGTTCCTTCCCCGTGCCTACTCGGTGGTCTTACGTCCTTATCTCTTATCGATTGTTCCTCGATATGGAAAAAAATGCGGAAAGAGCACACAATGCAGTAGTTAGGGCGAAGCATGTAAACGTGGTATCGGATAGTATTGGACATGAGTCGCGGATGGCGAATTCGGTGCCCTCAATGAGGACCATCAAATGTTCGAAATGCCCCCCGATGTGCCCCGCAACACTCAAAGACGACCCGACGACTTGTCACATACGAGGGCATTGTGTATGTGTTGTGATGGCCGAGATGGCCCAAGAGGAGTCAGATGGGGTCCCAACAGAACCCCAAGAAGGAACTCGACGGAACCCACCGCGAAGGGGTCCTTTCGTAGCTTCCATTGGGGGCCTTCTTGGGGCACTCTCGAGGCCCTCCCGAAGCCCCCAGGATGCCCCAATGAGGCCCAAAAATGCCGCCAGAGACGTCTGAAGGAGGCAACAACGGAACCTGCCATACTAGAGACAGTGTGTAGATATTGCGGCATTCCAAGGGTCTTCCGAAGAAGCTTTTGAGGCCCTCCCAAAGCCTACAGGATGCCTCAGTGAGGCCCCAAGAGACGTTCAAAGGAGGCCCAAACTAACGGAGCCTGCCTACCACAAAGGGGTGCCTCGGTAGGTTCCGTCGGGGGCCCCCTTGGGCACTGTTGAGGCCCTACCGAAGGTTTAGGGAGGCACCAACGATGCCCCCAGAGGTCCCCAAGCGGTGCCCAGGGGTACCCTCTACTAACGATGTTCGCCTTGTTCCCTTCTGGTGTCTATATTGAACCCTCTGGCACATACGCTCTATGCTCTCTACTCTCTACCATATGCCCTCTACTTCAGTATTCGGCGGCGCGCCTTGGGGAAGTGAGAAGGAGGATGATGGACCTTCTCAGAAGGTGGCCAGGCTTCTCAGAAACCCTCCAGCCTTGGAGAGGTTCTCTGTGTCTTCGGGGAGAGCTTAGCAAACTTCTTAGAAGGCCCGAGGCCTTCGGAGTCTTCTGAGAAGCCCGCCTCTTCTCACTTCCCCCCTGGGCTCGCCGCCAAAGTATGCTCTCTGGAGGCCCTGGGAACCTGACTGCCTCTGGAAACCAGGAACCTGGCCGCCCACTGAACTCGGCGGCCTATTGTCGCCGAATCCTTCACAAGGCATAGAGCAAGAGAGCACGTGATGTTGTCCTATCGTATCCTCCCGTTCCTCCTCCTCCGCCTCCTCCGCCTCATCCTTATCGTTCCTCTTCGCGTCAGCCGTTTTCTCGCATTTCCTGGACGCCTGTCTCTCACCTTGCCTGGGCGCTTGCCAGCGTACAACTGTCGCCACGTGAGCCTTCTTGGACCGTCTTGGGGGGCCTTTTGCGGCCCTCTTGATGCGCTCTGGAGGGCCTGAAGGGCGGCGCCCAGAAGGAAAACCATATGTTGACCCGAAGCGGCTTGGATACTTTCCGTCCAGGGACCTCCAGGGGCCGCTCCGCTCGCGAAGCAGAATTTTTGTAGTACTGTAAAGCAGTTACCGGAGATCTAAGCACGCCTCTGGCCCGTTGGGCCAGCGAATTGAGGAGACGAAGAGGGCCCGCTATTGCAGCCATGCTATTCTTCTCGACGCTCTCTCTCTCTCTCACACACACACACTTTGCGTCGGTGGCTAGGCAGAGTAGCTGCGCTGGCGGAGGAGCTGACTAAACGGGGGCACCGTTGTAGCAAATTGTGCCACAACGAAAGAGGATCGAAAAAGAAGGGAAGGGCGGCCGAAGGAGGCGGAGGAGGTGCGGGGGCCGCTCAGGGGGACGGGTCACGCAAGCCTCCGCAATTCCAGTTTCCCCCCTCCTCCCTCGCCGCGGGCGCGAGGGGGGCCCTCCGTCATGTTCGCCGTGACGCCATTCCGGAATGGCCTCACGCTGGGCGCCACGAACACCAGGGCCGGGGCCATGGAGTTGTACGGCTCGGTGTTCGCCAGGGGCCTCGCCGGGCGGGGGGGGCGGGGGCTCTCGGGGCCGCGAGCACCTTCCCCGGCCTCCTGCTTGCGACTCCTGCTCTGGCCCCTGTGCGTTGCATCTTCTCACCGAGCGCGTTCCACTACTCGCAAAGTGCCTACACGCAAACGTCCGAAAAACATGTGTTTGCTTCGATGAAGCTTATCGTAGATCCCCTGCGGCGGATCCAGGCCATTTGCAAGTAGTTACTTTGCGAGTAGTGGAACGCGCTCGTCTATATTCGGGGGAACCTCGACCTGTCCCGAAATCGGCGTCATTTCTTGTGCCCGGCGCGGGCGCGATGTGGATGCGACGCAGATTCGACGCGGATTCGACGAGTCCGCTTCGATACGGGTTCGACACGGACAGATGCGCGACGGGAAAAAGAAGGTCCTTTGAGCATGAGACATAAAACCTTGATCCTGCTCGTCGTTTCAGGGCCCACTTCGAGGAAATATGTTGTACAGGGGTTGCAGGATAGCAGACGTGGTGCTGTCATTCTGCCTCGCGCGTGAAGTCGCGCGCGACTTATGTGGCCGCACATTCTGCATGTGCAACCTGCAAAGATACACATAAGTATCCCTCCCCATCGACATTGCTCAAGCCATACACGATTACCCAGGGATGGCGCACTCGACTGGCCCCAGAAACCAGGACACCGCAGATCAGGAGTCTGCGCATTCCAGCTGGAGAATGTTATGCGTGTGACGGAGAATGTCCCAGCCCACCAGTGCAGTTTGCTGGGGTACGTCAGTGTCCTGGCTTCATGGCGCCAGCATCGCAGAGCTGATTTCGTTCGGAAAACACTCGGATGGGCCCGGAGTGTCCTGGAGAATTTCGTTCCGGATTTCGAAGTGAATTTCGTGCGGATTTCTGGCCAGGAATGGAGTCTACACCAAACCCACGCGGAATTCACTTCGTTTTTCGCTCGCCGGCTCGGGGTTTTGCACTGACAGAAATCTACGCAGAAGTCCGCTGCAGCACGTCTGCCAGGTCGGTGCAGCGACGCGCGTCCCGGCGCAGTCCGGCCCTGGCCCGTGGGCCGTGGGCGCCCCTGCGAGCAATTGCCCAGGCGCCGAGGCCCAGGCGGCCGGGGCCGCAGGCAGAGGGGGAGCTTCGGGAGCCCTGAGACGGGGGTCGGTGCAGGCGGGGGTCGGCCAGAGCGCCGGATCTCGCAGGATCCTGCAGGGACAGGGTCGCACTGACACGCCAGACTCCCGAGGCCACGGCCTCGCCCACCCGGTCTTGAGTAGGCCGGGACGCTGTCCGCAACGGTGGTCGCATCGCATCGCATCGCTTTGGGCGCAGGATCCTGCAGGATCTTGCAGTATCCTTCGCACTGACCCGGGCTGAGGTGCAGGATCTTGCAGGATTTGCAGGATTCTGCAAGGCCTGACTCACCCGGGTCTGGATTGATCCGGGTCAGAAGAGCCCCGAGAGATAGGAAGAAGGAGGGAGGGAACTAGGGAAGGGGGAGAAAAAGGATATCCAGGGACAGCAGTTAGAACCAAGAAGACCGTCTTGTCCTCCTCTCGCCCCTTCGGCAGACTGGACAGCAGCGCGCGGGTGCCGCCTTCGTTGCAGCCCGTATTCCTCCCTTTTTGTGTTCCCTCTTCCTCCTCACCGTAGAGTTCCACTTCGACATCCTGCGCTCCCCCCCTTCCCCCCCTCCTCACCTTCCTGCCCTGCCCCTCCTCTCCCTCGCGAGACCCGCTCTGATGGGCGTCCCGGCCCTGTTTTCCCTTCCCCCCCCCCCCTTGACTTGACCCTCTGTGGGCAAAGAACCTCCTCTCCCCCCCTTCCCCCTCGATCATTCCTCGCCTCCTCCCCCTCGATCATTCCTCCCCTCCTCCCCTGTTTTCCGTTCTCCCCCCCCCCTCGATCATTCTTCGCCTCCTCCCCTCCCTCAGCAGCGTCGGAGCGGAGGGGCTGGACCGGTGGAATCTACCCCGCGATCGCGGGCTGCCCGCAGTTCCTCTGCCTCGGCGGGGGAGGGGGCCACGACCTCCCCTCCGTCCTCCTCCTCCTCCTCCTCCTCCTCCTCCTCCCCCTCCTCGCCCTCCCCCTCCTCGCCCTCCCCCTCCTCGCCCTCCCCCTCCTCGCCCTACCCTCCTCGGGTCGCCTACGGCCCCGGGGGAAACCGTCCAGGACGGGGCAGGTGGCGAGGGGGGTCAGGGGCAGCGTTGCAGCCGGGGCGCTGAAAAAGGAACCCTTTGCGTTTGGGAGGGGCTCCGTGTTCCTTAGTTGTTTTGCTGTTTGCCTTAGGCTTTCCTTCGGTGTTCGATTGGATTTCGAAGTTTAATTTAAGGAAAAAGGGGCCTCGTTCCTTAATTATCGTTCCTCAGGTCAACGCCTCGACTGAAGTCGAAGACCACAGCGGCATACACAAGTTGTCGAAGGTCCGCGCGGACTTTCGAACGTTTGTGTTTATGTTTTTGCTGTTTCCTCTTCCTCCTCTTCTAATGAGAGTTGGAGAGGCTCAGGAGGGGATGCATCGACTCCCGATCGCCCAATGATCGCCTATAATGCCCGCTAGCCTACACCGCCCATGAACTTGCGGAATTCGCTTTCGGGTGCCGATCCGCCGATTGATCGGACCATGCATCGCCGCTTCCAGCTCGACTGTTCCCCCCCTCGGGCCAGTCCACCCCTTGACGTTCCCCTCCAAGGGGGGCCATGGCGGAGGGCGAGGGGGAGAGGACGATCGGCCAGGCGAGGGAGGCGGGAAGCCCAGGGGGGAGGCGGAGCAGGAGGACGTGTCAAATCAGCCAGGTCGAGCGAGTCAAATGGCCCCGCCGAATCCCCCCCTTCCTCCCACAGCACAAAGCATCCAGTGGGGCACGCCTTGGTATTGGGACTGGAACTCGCTCCCACGCGAAGAGCGCGAGGGCTAGACCGAAAGCACAATAAGCCATGCCCCCTCCTCCTCCTCATATCTCCTCCTCCTCCTCATATCCTCCTCCTCCTCCTATCCTCCTCCTCCTCCTCGCGGAGCGAGAAGGATAGGAGGAGGAGGATATGAGTAGGATAGGAGCTCGCTGGCGGCACCGCTCCCCGCGAGTGGGCGCAGAGGGCAGGAAGCCGGGCCGCGCAGGGGCGGGCGCGGCGGAGACGGAGCATTCGGGCGAGGTCGTCCTTCCGCCCACCCCTCGCGCAGCCGCGCCGCCGCTGTCGCTGCCCTGCGCCTCGCCGAACGGACCATGCTCCGCGCCCGCGCTGGAGCGCCACTTCCGAACCAAATGGGCGCGGCGGAGACAAAGCATTTGGGCGAGGTCGTCCTTCCGCCCACCCCTCGCGCAGCCGCGCCGCCGCTGTCGCTGCCCTGCGCCTCGCCGAACGAGCCAGCGTTCCGCGCCACCGCGCGGGGAGGCGCCACGTCCGAGCCCTAATGATGCGCACGGAGCCTGGGCGAGGGCGACAGGCCGCCGAGCCACGGGGGCCCCCCGGAGCTGGCGGCTGAGGAGTACTCACCGCACCTGCAGACGACCCCAACGGGCTCCAGCGCCGCTTTGGACACCCGAAATGGGTACGGGAAAAACGGGCACAACGCCCAACAACACACGTTGTCCTGAAAACCCACAGCGGCCACTGCTGGGCAGGCGGCCGTCTGTCTCCAGTGTACACGGGCCGCGGCGACACCGACAGCGAGCCCTGTGCAAAATGAACAGGAACCGCTGCTGGGCACTACACTCCAGATTTCGTAATAAAAGGGAGGGGGTCTTATTTCGGGGGGGGGGTCTCTTCCAGGCTATCTTGGAGGGCCCCGGGGGGGGTCTGGGGACGATGTCTTGGAGGGTTCTCCCACGGGGGGGGGGTCTAAAACTTCTCGTCTGGGAGGGTCCAGACCCCCTCGCTTTGATTACGAAATCTGGAGTATGCGCCGCGCCGAGGCGGGGCGGCCACTTTCAGGCGAAGTCTGCGTGGCGCCGAGGAGACAGCGACATGTTCGTCCCCTCGCGGCTCGACGAAAACACTTTGCGAAAAGTGTGCGCTGCGCCCAGGCGGGAGCCCAGTCTGTATCGTTCAACCGACCCCCATCCCCATCCCCACCCCCGTCGAGACCCTTACCAAAGTACCCCCCCCTTGTTAGGGATACGTCCCTCGACACCCGAAGGCAACGGCCTATATCCCATCTATGGGGCAAAAACGGCCAGTGAGGCCCAGGCCAAGCGAGTGGGGATAGGGATCGGTTGAACGCTGCTCAGCTCTCTTCGAGAAATGAGCGCAGCGCCGAGGCGAGCGCGACCTTTCGGTCTTTCGCGCGGGATGTGCGCCCCGTCCCCTTCTGCCACGCATCTTGAAGCATGGACAACATACAGTTGGTGCGCTGAAGAAGGAACCCTTCTCGTTGGGGAGAGGTTCGGTGTTCCTTGATTGTTGTACAGTTTGCCTGAGGTTTCCCAGAGGCTGTCCATTTGAAGTCGAAGTTTAATTAAAAGGCACCGTTCTTCATTGATCGCTCCTTACGTCAACGTCCCGACAGTAATGTCCATGCTGAGACGAGAGACGTAGACGTTGTTTTGTTTTTGTTTTGCCCCGTGGTACACAAAAGGCCCGTATAGAATCCTGATCTGCCAGCTAGGCGACAGAGTGGGCGTATACACTGATAAAACATAGGGGTTAAGCGCTCTGGCCAAGCACTGCGCGCAGAGGAGAACAGGGGGAAAGGAGGAAGGCAACCGAGTACCGAGCCCGCGGTGCCTCTGGCCGAGGCGACAAGACACCCCCATGTTCCCACAGTTTGCGGTGAAGGGGGTTGCTCGAAAGAGACGGAAAAAACGTAGACGTTATTCTTATTACAAGTAGGACAGAAGGGCCCGATTGGGTCCTTATCGGCCAGCGTGGCGATAGAGTAGGAGCAAATACGAAACATTGGGGTTTGGGCGCTCTGGCCAAGCACAGCGCGCAGAGGAGAACAGGGGGAAAGGAGGAAGGCAACCGAGTACCGATCCCGTGGTGCCCTCGGCCGAGGCGAAAAGACACCCATTTGTCCACCCTTTGCGGTGAAGGAGGCAGATTCGGAAGAGAGCGTACTATTGGGAAACAACAGCAGGAGGAGCAGGGATTGGACCAGGATTAGACCAGGGCCAGCCTTTTGGCAGAGTTGGATGAAAATGAAGCGCAACCGCCTAAAACACATTCCCTCTCCGATTCCCCGGCGATCCGGACGTCCGCCGCCGCGGTCCGTTGTCTGCCTCCTGCCCGAGAACAAGGGGAGGCCCTGCGTACCATTTTTATGCGGCCTTTGTTGGAACTGCTGGCGGCGTGGTGCTGACGAGCCTAACGGAGTCGGGCATCGTCTTCGGGGCGGAGACCTGCAACGCACAGATGGCCAAGAACGCGAAGGCTCCCGTCGGCGCCCGGGCTGTCGGGAGAGCGGCGTAGAGGCACACGGTAAGGAATGTGTGCTTAGTGTGTCGCGCCGTTGGGTCTGGGCCCACCACGCTTCGGCGCGACACGCTAAGCTGAAGTCGGGCGTGTCCCTCTACAGGGGGAACCTTCAACAATAATCAAAAAGTAGTCAGGGGACGATTTGTTGACCATTTTCTGATATTTTTTGAGTAGTTGTTGGGTATGTTCGATTTTTCGTCCAAAATCCCCCAGTAGGGGGACATGCCCGACCGAACGCTAAGCACGTCCCAGGATCCCGAGCATCAACGTTCAAGCATGCTGAGTGACACGCTATCAGCTTGCCAGGCGTGGCGTGTCGCAGGGGCCGTCGCGATACGCGAAGCAAAAGCTCTTCCCCGAAGACCGAGAGACATTGGCGATGAGAGCGCAATGCCCGATTCAGTATGGATGCTATTCCGCGTTATGCAACCTGGGTGCACTGGCAGAGTTGGCTGCCAGCTAGGGAGGCCATGTTGGGCGTCCCAGAAGCACAGGTGCGGGCCTGGTGAAGTGCATGCGGGGGGCGTCGGCAGAAGGGCCCCCAACCGATGTGGATCTTGAGAGCGGGAGCCCTCTGAAAACTTCAATGTCCCAGCGAAGGAGCCTTGATTTCGTGCGAGCTGGTAGAGACGGGGGGCTAACCAAACGGGGGGCAGCCACAGCGCCGAACTTTGCAGGAACCTGCAAAGTCAGAGTCGCACTGGCCCAGATCCGCGAAGTTTGATTGGCCCAGGTTCGAATTGACCCAGATCCGTGCATCCCCGATTATCATTTTTCCAGGTTTGCCAGTGGACGCAGGGCGGTATGTGCTATCGCAGGCGAATGCGGCGAATCACCGTCGCCCCCACATTTTTCCAAAGCGCTTCTGTGGCCAAACGTTTGGGTCCAGAGCTTAGAGAACCTATTGGACCATATGTTCCCCGAACCGCCCCAGAACCCTTTCGGGGAGCACGTGGGCAAGACAGCGAATCAGCAATTTAAAAACATAAATAAAGGGCATAGACGGGTCATACGAAACATTAAGACGAATAATAAGACTATGAATAAGAAGAAGAGAGTTTCTTAGGGCACTCCAGGAGCTTATCTCGGTGACCTGGGGCCTCTAGGCCGTTCGGGACGATCTCGGCGCAATCCTGGGCCATGTTGGGGCCGTTACGGGCCGTCGTCCATACGTCGTCGGCCAGTTTGGGAAATTAAAGCGTCTCCGCCAAACCCAATTCGTTTGTTGTTGCATGCTTCACTGGAGCTTGTCCCCGAAGCTGCCAGGGCATGATTCGAGGATCGGTCGCGGTAGAGCCTTCGTAGCATCATTAGCGACAGCGCCGTGTTGACGTGTATCATTGGTTCCCCCGATTTTAAGCATGCCCGTCCGTAGTTGCATTCGGGCTTCAAGCTCTCTTGAGTCGTTTAGCGCACGACACAACCAAAGACAATTCGATGCCGAAACCGCGCATGGCCATGCCCAGCGCGTGCGCCGCTGAGTTGTCTTGTTTGGACCTCCGAGGAGAGCGCCGATTTATGTCTCAAAGGTGTCGCGGTGGCCGATGCGGCCCCGGCGCACGGAGAAGCTGGCGGTCCTTCAATTGTGTTTCCCGCAGGTCGTGGTATAGTGGGGATGCGCGATTCGTTGCCGACGTCGCGGACTTCCTGCCCGCCGACTTTTGCTCGTCCTCTGCCCATTCACGGCAGCGTTGCACGTACGTTGTCGCTTAACAGTCCAGCGGCGACGGAAAGGCGGCGGAGTTCAGGCGCGGTGGCACGCGTTACATACTGATGCAGAGGCACCCAGGGGATTTTGCCGAGCTGAAAGCTGCGACCCCAGCGCTCGCCTGCAAGATCGTTGAGCATTAGTTTGGCCGGGCGCTCCAAGACGCCGCGAACTTGAACCTCGGCGGTCGGGGGGGCAGGCTTCGTCGAGATCACCTGCTGCGACCCGCTCGGGAAGACGCGCGGGCCCGCGCGAGACAGCAAAGAACACTGAACCGGCGCGGAAGTCGATGCCGGGAGAGAGTGAGTTCGTTTCGCCGAGATTTTCTGCGGAGGCGAACGAGTAGGAATTGGCGCGGCCGGTGGCGGAAGCGATGGGCCGCGACAGGGCAGGGGGCGACTTGGACATCTTGCGCGCGCCCCCACGGGCATTTTCGCTGCGCGTGCCTGGGGGGTCACCGGCCCCCGTTCGAGACCCCGCACCAAGCGTCGCGCAGATTTGGCCAGGCGAGGTGCGCCGCCGCGCCCCGGGGGGCGCCCTCCTATCGGGCTGGGCGAAAGGGGGGGATTGGGAAAGGGGGGGTTACGAAATTTGCTGCACGCAGCTGATTTCGGCCTCACCGAGGGGCCCATTCCTCGATGCATGGGCGCCTCCCGGCGCCAGGAGGCGCCGGGAAAATCAGCTACGCGAGCTGATTCTCAAACCCCCCTTTTGCTATCCCCCCCTTTCGCCCGACCCGATCCTGCCAGGAGCGCATCTCACGCGTGGAAGATTTAGGCGCTGTCGACAGCGTCGCGGGCGCTCCTTGGGCCACCTGCGCAGCGAGACTGCGCCCGCCGAGGCGCGGACGGGAATTGCTCGGCAGCTCCGCGCCGACTTGCGAGCTCTGCGCGGCGCGGCCGCCTCGGTCGTTCCACGCGGCCGCCTCGGTCGTTCACCGATCGGGCGGCGCGACAGGCCTCCGCCCCCGCCACTCTGCCGCGCGGCCGCTTCGGGAGGGAGCTGGCCGAGTACCCGAAGAGAGGAGGAAGCCGCTCATTCGGCCGATGGTGGCCGAGGCCGAATTGCGGCAGCTACCCGAAGAGAGGAGGAAACCGCTCACTCGGCCGACGGGGGCGAGGAGGGCGACGGCGGCCGCGGCCGCAGAGGTCGAGGCGGCGGCAAAACGCCGCCGAGGTCCTTTGGCGTGGGGGCGCGTCTGGCGCTGGGTGCGACCCTGGAAGTCGCGCCGATGGCGAGGGAGACCGTGGGCCGCTCCATTGCACCAGCCGCTCGTCGCCCTCGGAGTCCGACGACGGGATCTCCGGCGACGGCTCTATAGCACAGACAGCGAAAGGATCTGGCGACGGCGACAAGCCGGGCTTCGCAGAAATGGGCCAGCCGCCAGGGCCACTGACACAAGGGGTGGGAAGTTAGGGCGGCGACCCTGGCTCGTTTGTTCTGGAAGCACGCGACGCGTTCCGCGCGGGGGCGACGGTCGCCGACTAGCCTCGCGCGGACGAGGGCGAGGGCCGGGAGGCGGCCGCCATCGACAGCGCCGCCCCCCATTCGGAGTCGCCCACTGCTCCCGCGAGACGGCGCGGACCCGACGCTTGAGGCTGTGATCCGGGGGGCTGGGCCCGTTGCAGATGCAGCGCGGGCGTCGAATGACCTCGGCGCGCCGCGGTTTCACACGGCGCGGTCGCTCGCGCGACTTACAGATTCCGCGCGGGAGAACGACGATTGTCCGCGACCTTAAGGACCTTAAGGATGCACATCGACCGCGAGATGTCGCGCGCCCCAGAGGAGGCGCGGCCGCTCGCAGACGCAGGGCGCGGGACTTTGGGCGCCCGCGCGATCGACCTGAGATTGAGCGGCTTTCCCGCTGCATTTTGGCTTGCATTTCTCTGGTGCGTTCCGGGGCTCCGCGGGTTCAGCGGCGTCGCGAGTCGATTGCTTCGTCGCGAATCGATTTCCCCGAAGGGTCGGCGCAACCGCTCGGGGAGCAGCCGGGCCCCGCAGCGGGGGGGCGCGAGCCTCGCGCGCGCCGGGGGCGCAGCGATGGGCCATTCACGGAGACTTTTTTCGGGGGACATAATGGGCGCGGCAACTCGTCGAGGACGGCAGTCTTGAACCCGCGGCGCACGGTCGGCCTTGCGTTGGGGCGTCGACGGACAGGCGCCAGGAATCGCAGGCGGCCGAGGCGCTGCACACCGACAACATCAAGGGCGACATGTGCCTTTGCTGCGCCCAGATGCGCGCGCGAGAGGGAAATTGCAGGGCGCGCGCGTGATTTCTGGGAGAAAGAAAGAGGCGAGAGGTTGGTGTCTTGGGAGAGAGACACGCGCAGACATTCGCATGACCAGCGCGAAGGACAGCCCCGAGTGGACGCACAAGCACCCCGACACGTTTGACGACAATTCCGGCACGAATGTTTTTTTGCAGCATGAGCCCGCGGCAGTGGCGCACATCCTCGCCTTAGCGCGAATCGCCACAACGACGATAACGACGAGCGAAAAGTCCTTCATGTGCCCGACGAGCAAGGATCCATGCGCAGATTGTGTTGCCGCAGGGGCGCCGCGCCGGGAACGAAGCGACGCGCGCGCCGCGCGTGCTCTGCGTCGTCTTGCCGGGTCCAAATGCGGGAGAATTGATGGAAGTCCAGGGGGGCGAAGTGCGACCCCCTGGGCTGCCGAACGACAACCTCGCGGGGCGCGCCTCGGACATCATCGCGCGGCGCAAGGTGCGGCGGTTAGAGGTTGCCATAGCGACAGCCGTGCTGGATGCCCACGCTCATCTACTGCGTCGAGATGGGCCACGGGCATCTGATTAAAGAAGAGATGGGAAGCCAGATGGGCCAAAACATCGTCAGGGGTGTCTGCGCGAGGTGCCACATGCCTCGGGAGATGCAACTTAATTTCTGAAGCAGGCCTTCCAGGACCGGCAAGTCGCCACCTATCCCACGAGGCAAGAAAGGTTGAAGTATTCTGCGAGAATTCACCTGCAAGTATCCGATGCAATTCCTCGCGCGGCCCCGCATGCCGCTGCAACTTCTGGCCAACCTAATCGGGCAGAACCACGCTGAGCTCCACTGGAGAGGATCGGCCATTGAGTTCCACGAGACAACACGCAAGGCGGCGGATGCCGATCACCTCGGGACGGAGCCCGACAGACGCGCAGACGATCGGGGAGGCGCCGTTCCAGAGTCCACCCGGGCCTTGCAGGGAGGTTTAGGCAAGGCGAAGTGGAAGGCGCCCGGCACAGCACC